AATCAATGTCCTTCTCTTCAGGGCTTGGCGGTTGGCTGGGTTTCGTTTACATCGACTCTGGTGGTTCTTAAGTCCCGGATGATGAGGCGACAAAAGGCATACAGCCCCGGATTTTAAATCTAGTTCCCAGCGAGACAAGTCGCATGGTCCCGTTCTAAGTGAACGATATATCTTGGCAACGGAGGTTCATCTAGATGAGGAGAAAGAAGGCGGAATGAGGAAAGCTCCACGAGCGCTGAGCAGGATATCAAGTATGGTTATTTCTTACCAAGCCCACTCTCATTCACCTTGCTAATAACACCCTTAGAGATGTTGGATAGTCCTGCTTGAAGACAAATAGAGTTATCAGTCCACCACCGAGATCGTGCCTTTTGATGCAGCCAAAATTGGTTCTGAGACCCTTGGTGATAAGCTATGCCGACCTGGCGGAAAACCAGTGTTTTAAAACCCGAAGTCCTTGGACGGATATAAAACATTGGGGATGGTCATTTGGGACCGAAATGCAACAGTGCGAATGACCTGACCAGCAAATTACACTGGGGCAGCTGAATAGGGATGAGGGGTTACTTGTTCACCTTGATCACATGGAGTATTACCATTCAAAAGCGTCAACTTGCATGGGCTAGCACATTTAGTGGCGTAGGTTTGGATGAGCGACCGAGGGGAGAGCATGGATGTTAAGCCCATCACCATCATCGGATCGCCAGGCAGCCAGCGTCTTTGTAGCTTTCCACCATCGCATATGCCCGAAAGCATCGAGCGATTGGGGGTTGGTACACGGTGGCATTGCCAATCATACGATATCTGTATATAACATGGCTTCTGACGCAGGTCCGTCGCCCCCGACACAGCCGAGGGCAGACGAGAGCATCCATGCTTCAATCAACCATCAGATAGATGACTTCTTCGTTCGAATTGGATTTGACCCTCAAACACGAATCGCATGCGACAGCTTCGCTGCTTCAGTCTCACGCGGTAGGGAGTGTATCCCGGCGCAGCATCAGGGCTATTGTTCATATACCGTTTTCCTGTCAGCCCGTCATATTCTCCAATTCCGACCAGTCCAGTTCATGCTGGATATGCAAGTCTGCCGCGAGGCTAGAGAAATATATGGCGCCCTGGTTCCAACAACCTCCTATATGGGGACTGTGGATGCGCAAGAGCTGGGAGGGCCGACCATTCGAGAAGCGCTACACGTGTACCTCCAAGACGTAATCCCAGGAATCAGCTTGGAAGCGTTACGCCACATGCCATATTTCTCATCCAAACACCGAAGAAACCTTATCGGGGACCTTGCGGATGTATTCGCAACTGGCTTCCATCACGGAAAGCTCCCAAGATCAGCAGCTAAAGGTGGCCAAATTGAATTTAGTAGAGGAATAGTTGGTAGATCTCTGGCTGGGCGCCTATCTCTCCTGCAAGCGCTCTCTGGGCCGGAGTCAAAGTATGTGGAACAAGTTCGACAGCAAGCTGAAGTGATAGAATCGAAGATGCCGTGGTGTTTCACACATGGAGACTTGGTACCTGCAAACATCATGGTGAACCCCGACACGGGCCATCTCACTGGCCTGATCGACTGGGCAGAAGGTGAATGGCTCCCTCTGGGCACAAGTTTGTACGGCCTTGAAGAGGTGTTGGGGCAGGTCTCATCGGATGGAAAGACTTTCGAGTACTATGAAGATCATCTGTATCTGCGAGCGAGGTTCTGGAACAGGTTCACAGTCCTCGCAGCCTCCTCTCCTCCCGTTTTCCAGCCCCGAAGTTTCATGGAGCATGTTCGGACGGGTCGCACCCTCGGCATACTCTTGTGGCGTGGGATTGCTTTTGATGATGGGAAAATTGACCGTGTTGTAAGTGAAGATAGGGACGAGCTCGAAATATTCAAACTGCGACTATTTCTGGGAGCACCAACTCCTCCAGATTTCAACTGGAGACACCGAGCCTGGCTGTCATGCATCTGGCTGCTGCGTTTCGTATTCCATCGACCTCCTTCTGCTAAAGGCAAGGCAGTCGAGGCCAAAGTCGCCAAGGACAACGTCACTAAGGTGGAAATAAAGTATGGAGGTAAATCTGTAGATGATTAACGAGCGTGTTTTGGTCTTTTTAATTTTTTTTTTCTTTTCTTTTTTCTTATTCGATTCGACCGATTGCTTCGGCTTTTCTGAAAGGCTCAGCTTTTTTTTTTTTTTTTTTTTTTTTTTTTGGATACCTATACGTTCTGAGCGATGTTTCCAATCCGTCTTTATAGACATTGCAAGATGTAAAGACTTATCTATCTGATTAACAGTTTCCTCATTTCCTTTCTTCAAGAAATATAATCTATCTTGTAACACAAGACGGCATCACTCCCTTGAGGTAATTTTCCGGTAGTTCGAGATAGAATGGCTGACCGCAAGATGCAACATCATATTCACGTCTGCGCCTTATTGACACTGCAAGAATGGCGATATTGGTACCACCTGAAACTCATGGTTGAGCTCTGAAGACTGTAGAGACACACTTCATTGTTTCTCCCATCACTATCGGTTGCTTTCTCCGAATAGACCTCTTTCGTAACCAAAATCGAGGCTTCAGTTTCTGTTGCTCCTGCCTTTTCTTCGATGGCCGCTTTCGCTGATCCGTCTGCCATTGCCGACTCTCTTTTCACAATTGCGCATATCGCCAGTACCGTCCCCCTCCTTGCAAGAACTCCATTTCTGCGTCTTGCACTTCTCTCCCGGCCGGCAAATGGTTTCGCTCATGCTCTCGGAGATGTGCATTCTGGAATGACCATTGCTCCTGCTTAAAACGCTCTTCCTCCTCCTCCTTCTCCCTCCTTGATGCCGTGAAGGATGCTCTTCTAAAGCGTTTCTCTTGGTTAAAGCAACCTCAACAACATCGCCATCCCCCACCCCACGCTGTTGGAGATTTCGGACCTGGGCAATGCTACCTGTTACGGAGTCGGGCTCTCCTCGAGCCTCATGAAGACGATCAAGGCTGTCAGAGTTGATTCCACTTCTTTTGTCGACATCATGAGGTGCCGCAGATTTAGCTACGACAAAATGCTCGGATAAAATGAGCATGAGGCTTGCAGCGACGGGTAGCTGTTGTTTGGTGGGAATCATTTTGATAAATAGTACAATGAAAAATACACAGGGAGTATTGTAACCTACTAGAGGTTTCAAAAAAAAAAATAGAGAGAAGGGCGACGGGAGAAACGTCAAACGGGGTTATATGGCAAGTAAGTGATGCAGATCGGGTGATCTATGATCTAAATAGGTCTATTTTAGGAGCTTGGGAGCTCACTTACACTGAGACCAGACGTATGACGTGCGTGATGCTTCATGATCCCTGTTCCACCACCGGGAGGATAAGCATTATCTCAGCCAAAAGTTCAGAGCTGTGCCTTATTGATCAACAGAGGATTGCGAGCACTGTGTGGCGGCTCATACTAGTGCTCATCTCAGCGAACAAATACTCATATTTTCATGTTGCAAATGGACTATCTCTCCTTTCAGCTGGGATCGGACTAGATGATTTTCTAGTATCATCATTTCATGGTTTCAAAATTGCTAAGATTAATAGAAAACAGTGATGAGGAAGCTTGGGAAGGTCGCCAATCCCACGGAGGAATTGGGGCACGGGTGTTACTGGATGCGGCAGGAGGGGCCAGCTCTAGGTTAGTTGGATATATTTGAACAGACCCAACAACAACCAACAGACCCTCAACACATTTCCTTTGTGTCGTATTGTAATAGATTGACCTTTTGTCGCTCACTAACCCCTCCTCCCTCTGCGGAATCCAAGCAGCCAACCTCCTTGCCATTACACCCGCTGCCCAGTCCGAGAAACACGGCCGATTGGCGTCGTCCGCAGCAATGGCACCTCCCAAGCAACAGTCCAAGCCGGCGACGGCCAAGGTCGACGAGTCCCCGATCAAGACGGCCTACCTCCTCTTCTACAACGCCATCTCCGCCGTGGCATGGGGCATCGTCCTCGCCCGCACCGTCTCCCTCGCCGGCCTCGAGGGCCCCGAGGCCGTCTTCCTCGCCATCGGCGACCGCACGAAATGGACCCAGACCGTCGCCGGCCTCGAGATCCTCCACTCGCTCCTCGGCGTCGTCCGCGCCCCCGTCTTCACCACCGCCATGCAGGTCGCCTCGCGCTTCCTCCTCGTCTGGGGCGTCGTCCACCCGTTCCCCCAGCTCGCCGTCCAGTCCCCGTTCTACGTCTCCATGCTCCTCGCCTGGTCCCTCACCGAGGTCATCCGCTACAGCTTCTTCGCCGTCGGCCTGCGCTTCGGCCAGCAGCCCGCCTTCCTCACCTGGCTGCGATACAATACCTTCTTCGTGCTGTACCCCGTCGGCATCACCAGCGAGTGCGCGCTCATCTACCTGGCCACCGGCCCCGGTGCTGAGCAGTATGGCGATGTCTTCAAGTACGCCATGTACGCCATCTTGGCTACCTATGTCCCCGGTAAGCTTCCCCTACTCCCTTGTGCCTTCCTAGGGCTACACTCTCCGGAAGGTGTCTCCTCAAGACTAGAAAAAAAAAACCATCGTGAGCTTCTCTGACCAATTAACAGGCGCCTACATTCTGTACACCTATATGATGAAGCAGCGCAAGAGGGTCATGCGTAACCTCAAGGCCAAAAACGAAAAGGCTTCACAGTAAGAAGCAAACAAGATTCCGGTGATTCTTCAGAAAGGAGATGTTTGTCTTGGTGGAAAACTCAACTAGGAGATGGGATCGTGTATCAAATACCAAAAAGGGGGAGAGTCCGCTATGGATATTGTATAGGATAAATCATGATAACATGCATTATATGGGAGAGGTCTGTTGGTTAGAATAAAGTAATAGAGCAAAGTCTTTACTGGTCGATAACACTACCTAGCCTTGAGCTCCTTAAGTCGTTCCATCTTCTAGCTGATCCGAATTACCCATTCATACCTTGTTCCACAACGCCGTAACTCCAGTTTGCAATACTTCCAATGATAACATGAACCCCCCGAACTAGGATCCTACGGTGACGGTGCCTGCTCGAGCAAAGGCATGGGTTCTTCGCTTGTCTCATACCATTCCTTGGACACCCACTCTGCAATCAGCGTCTTAGCAGTCTCGGACAACGTCTCGTAATCAGGGTTCTCTTTCGGCTCAAACATGGCTAAAAAGGAGAACAGAGTCAATCATCAAATGTTCAAAAATTCAAGAAGGACAACCTCTCGACAAGAGCAGGCAGGAGGAACTCACTCATATGCGCAACAGTCTCATCCGTAGCCTTGTCATTCACCGCCTCCTTCCACACGCCCGCAGCCTGCGACCTGGGCAGGTTGCAGAACGTCCTCTCGCTCCCCAGCACCGTGCCCACCATGCTGACATTCTTGCTCGAGGCGGCCCTCCCCAGCCGCGTGTACAGGTTGGCGAACCCGACGCTCAGCTCCTCGTTCAGCCGGACCATGTAGCTGACCCGCTTCTTGAGCTCCTCGGCCCGCGCGAGGCACCCCACGAACTCGAGGTGCGAGCTCACCCACGTCCAGCCCTCGCCGATGTGGTCGCGGTTCATCCACGCCGCGGCGCCCCCGGCCGCCACGGCCCCCGCGGCACCGGCAACCATGGCCACCTTGCCCCAGGTGCCCCAGCCGCCCGCGGACTTGTTGCCGGTGCCGGTAGCTGGAGGGAGAGCACCGGCTGAGGGCGGCGCTGCCCTGGTGCTGGTCGCGGCCTTGTTCGCCCCCCACAGCGAGGCGCCGAGGCCGCTGAGCTGGGTGATGGCCGAGGCGGCGTTCTGGTAGTGGCCCTCTGCGCCGTGGGCCACGACGCCGGGCGCTATGCCGAGGTACGGGGTGTCGAAGGCCAGCACGCCCTGGATGTAGGGGAACAGGAGGGAGTTGAAGGACGAGGGGAGCGTGGCGCTCTTCTGGATCCCGTCCTCGGAGTAGATGGGCTGCTCGGATGCGATGGCGATGACCATTTCTGCCGCGACGATGCCGCCCATGGAGTGGCCGATGAGGATGGTCCTTACCGACGGGTCAATGGTTGGCGAGGGTGTGCCCGTCGCCACCTCCAGGTCAATGACCTTGTCCTCCAGCCTGGTGAACGATAAGATTAGTATAATGAATTAGAAGAGAGAGAGAAAACAGGAGGGAGGGAAACCAAGAGGGCAGGAAGAGGCATACCAGCTGCGAAAACGACTGACAGTCTCGCCAAGGTCGCCCCTCGTCTCATACTTGGGGTATACAAGAGTCTTTATATTGATTTTGGGCAACTCGGCGGCGACCAGATCGCGCAAGTGTTCTGCGAACCGATAGTCGTCCCCAAAGGTTGATTCTCCCCCCTTGATAAGCCAGCTGTCAGTGCTGTCTTACAGACATGTGCTGGGCCTTGGTTGGCGTCACCAAATGGCATACCTGAAATCCATGGATGAAACACAGGATGAGTGTCTTCTTCATGGTGACGAAGCAAATTATGTTAAATCAACACATCCAAGGTTGGGTTTAGAGTCGCAAACCCGCCTGTTCGGGTGTGTTGAAGGATAAATAATGATGGTTGTTGTATGCGAGGCTATTGCTCAGAGACATGTGCATTAAAGTGGAGGGAAGCCCCCACCTGAGTGTAGTCACACAACACGTACATGTAAGCCACCTACTATGCCTTTATGCTAACATGCCTACTACATGCCCAGATCAACCAACTCAAGAATGGATGTCGATTTCTATCGATTAAAATACACTTCCTTACGGTTCTTATCTAAACATATAGGGTGATGAGGCCTCTTCCCTGCAAGGGGTGCGTTGATCTGCTTGCTTTCCACGGCCTCCCTCAGCATTTGGCTCATTCATACTTTGCCCTCCTCGTCCTGAGCTCAAATCAGCCTGCTTGTTTGTAGATGGTATTGTTCCCCATGTGACCCATTTCCTTCGCCATACGACATTTATAAGTTCCCAAACCGCCCAACGCCAAATATTGTTTTGAAAAAAAAAACGAAGGTTAAAAAAAATAGGAAGAAAGCAAAAGTGAAAAATCAAGGTCATCAAACAAGAATCACCTCGCCAAGAGAGGGGAGGCGCACTTTTCCCATTCCCCTCACGAAACGTCTATTGCCCAGGAAAGCAGCATGGTCCCCTAATTAAACAGTCACAGGTCATCTGTATATACCAGAATTATGTCTTCCACGTGAGACAAGGCTGCTGTGAAGACTGGTACCCAGAGCGGCGTGCTTAATCCTCATCGCTTCGTGGCGTGGAATTTTCACCATTCACATCTCTGGAGCTGCTGGAAATCAGCTTGATGCGTGTTCCACTTGGTATGGGAGTGCCGCCGCTGGTAGATGGTGGTGCCGATTCTGTCTTGGCATCCTCCTCAAGTTCAGCCAGTTCCGGGTGTGCCGAAAGTTCTTCTTCGTACCTGGCCCTGAAGAATTCCTGTTTTTTTATTGTTAGCATATTGCCTCAGGTGTGCTGGCTATACCGTATTCTCTACTTACATCCATGGTCTTAGCATCTTGGTACAGAATGCTACCATCTTCGTTGAATGTTTGACAATTTCGAATCAAAAGGTCAAAATCTTTTCGGAGATCACTCAAAGATCCATATTCCTCCTTCTTGATACGAGTGTTGATATTGTTCATGCAAATGGGGGATAGGATGACGACGTAGTAATCGGGGAAATCGCGCTTGGGAGGCAGCTTTACGAAAGGACCAATAATGAGTCGCTTCCCAGCATCCGATTCATCATCAGCCGGAGGCTCGAGATCGTCAACCTCCAAAGTCATGAGACCATCGTACAGAGACCGAAGACTCTTCTGGAGAACTTCGCGCACCTGCGGGCTCAGGCGCGAGGCAGCTCCGTTCAAGTTTGTCTTGCTCGGTCTGCCTTGAGGGCCACGCCGCTTCTTGGCTGGGGGCTCATCATCGCCTTCCTCGGCTTTGCGTTTTTCATTTTTGCTGCCAGGCTTGCGTCCACGTTTCTTCGGCGTTTCGACTTCCTCCGTGCTGGCGCGACTTGGAACTGGGGAATTATCCATCGAGTTCAGTATCGCCGTCTTCTTGAGCCTGTTGTTGTCTCGCTTATCTCTACGGGCCTGCTTTCGTGCTGCGGCAGCTTCTGGAGAATCCTCCTCGTCGTCAACCGCCATCAACCATTGTTCTTCGGTCAAGCCGTCGTCATATTTGACCTTGGTGCGCTCACGGGCGCCGCGACCAAGAACAACTTCTTCCGTGTCCTCAACCGTTTCCACGCTGTCATTGAGGTAGATATCGGGGAGTTCCTCTTCAACCATGAGACGTGGTCTGGGTTTAGGAGCTGCACCCTTTGAGCCATAGACTGGGTCCATTGCCCTCTCTTCATCCATTTTTTGGAAAGTGATAAGCTCATCGTCACTCCGGGCAAGCATCATATTGAGCTCCTCGTCTTCCATGTCATCTTGCTCTCCGCTCTCAGCCATGTCGGCAGTTTCAAGCAAGGTCCGGAGCATAGCATCTCGGTCAGTCTCTGACGACTTGTTATCGAAACGACCGGCCTGGATAATCTTTCCATCCATATCAAGCTTGTATCTGGCACGCTCAAGAATCTTCTCTTCAACTGAGTTGGAGCTGATCAGACGCAGAATTCGCACCTCGTTCTTCTGTCCAATACGATGAGCACGATCCTGGGCCTGTAAATCCTGATGAGGATTCCAATCAGAGTCGTAGATAATGACGGTATCTGCAGTCTGCAAGTTCAGACCAAGACCTCCAGCACGTGTCGACAACAAGAACATAAAATACTTGGAGTTGGGGGCGTTGAACTCTCTCAAGAGGTCGGATCTCTCATCTGCCTTGGTAGTACCATCGAGACGCAAGTACTCAAATTGTCGGTAGCGCAAATAATCCTCCATGATATCCATGATGGCCGTCATCTGGAAGAACATGAGAACTCTGTGGCCTGTTGCCTTGTACTTGGGGAGAATTCTGTCCAGCAGCTCAAACTTTCCGGCAGTTCGCCATAACTCGTCATTGCTCACGTTACGCGGGTTGATGACATTCTCCACAGGATCAAACACAAAGGGATGGTTGCAGAGCTTTCGGAGCTGCATGATCATGTTACTCAAGCCACGAGCGCTAGTCTTTCCACCCTTGCCGTCGCTAACAACAAGCTTGTTGTGTGTAACCATCTGCTTGTACAGTTTAGATTGCAGGGCAGAGAACTTGCACTTGATGACCTTCTCTGTCTTGTCTGGCAAGTCCTTCTCGACATCTTTCTTGAGACGACGCAAGAGGAAGGGTCGGAGAACCTTGTGCAGACGTCGAATGACGAGAATCTGTTCTTCTTCTGTAAGTTCCATCTTGTCCTGGCCACCGGTGTTGGCAAATGGTGTGTTGAACCATTCATCGAATGTCTTGACAGACTTGAAGATGTTTGGCAGAACGAAATTCAGAATGGCCCACAACTCAGCCAGGTTATTCTGAAGAGGAGTACCGGTAAGGATAAGTCGGAACCGAGTAGTGTAGTACTGTGTGATGGTTGCGCTAAGCTTGGAGTTCGAGTTCTTCATACGGTGACCTTCATCGATAATCATGTGGAACCACTTAATCTTACTGAGAATCGGGCGGTCTTTGATGACATATTCATATGTCGTCAGGAGAACTTGGAATTCACCTCGGCGAATCTTCTCCTGCTGCGTCTTGCGGGCATTAGGAGGTCCCTTGTAGACGATGCGAGCAACTGACGGCGCCCATTTCTCAAACTCGAGATTCCAATTTGTGAGCGTACTGAGGGGGACAATAACCAAGTATGGCCCAGGCTGCTGCTTCCTCTCAATCAGGTATGTGATCAAGCTGATTGTCTGAATCGTTTTACCGAGACCCATTTCATCAGCGAGGATACCGTTAAGGTTGTTGTTGTAAAGCGAAATCATCCACTGCAGACCCTTGACCTGATATTCTTTGAGGGTACCGCCAACAAGCATGTTGGCTTGCTCAGTGACTTCTTCCCGAACACGATGAGCGACGGCGTAGTAATCAATCTTCTTGCCACTCTCCTCGTCTTCCTCAATCTCGCTTTCTTCATCAACAAAGTTTTCAGTATCGTCACCATATCTCTCCGCTGCTTGTCGCTGCTGTGTCTTGACAGAGGCTGCAAGTTGGTGCAAGAAGCCATCGGTCTGTTTGAGCAGGTGGGTAATACGGGTATCCTTGGCCTGGTCAAGCAGCTTGAGATATGCCTCTTCATCGTTGGCCTTGAGAGCCTGGAGACGTTGCTTGGCGGTACGCTCGATTCGCTTCTGCTCCTCCTTTTCAATGTTGAAATGCTGAGCGTACATAAGTCGACTGAGTTTGTGTGACTTGTTCCTCTGGCTTGCGGCAGACTCCTGGATGACGGCTCTGTGGTTGGTGATGGCATGGAGGAAGTCCACATGCTTCTTCTTTTCTCGGTTCTCGCGTGCATCGCGCTGTTGCTTCTCGAGCTTCTCTGTGATTCGGGCTTCGCGAACATTCTGCTTCTTCATGCGGCGATAATTGGTTCGGTTGGTGGTCATTGCTAGGTTGTCATAATGCAACATCTGGCGTCCGACACGCTCCCTGAGAGCTCGTTGCTTAGCGTAGAGGGCCAAACTCTTCATTTCAATGATTGCCTTTCGCTTCAGAGTGTCGTCTGCCTCAAGGTTCTCCTTGGCCGAATCGAGGTGGGCCAAATCCGCAGGCAGATTCTTCAGCTCAGCATAGCGCTGGCTCATGCGGTTAAACACAACAACCTCTCTCTCGTACCGAAGATGGTCAAAATCGAATCCGGTGGGGAAAACGCCGGGAATAAACCATCGGTTCTTACGCTGGGCATGGTCAAAATACTTGATTGAGGAACGAACCATGCCGCCACCATAAGGCGATTTGACAGTCTTGTAAGTATGAGGCTTGGCCTGTGAATCTTCCTGAGCTGCTGGGTCAGCTTCAAGCTGTGCGGCTCTTGCAGAGTCCTGTGCTGACTGTGCCGACTTAGCAGCCGCGGCATTTGACGCCTCGAGAGCGGCAGCTTGCCTCTTTTGACGCTGATGGTAGATGGCCTGCTGTAACTGGAGGGAGACACCTGAGTTCTTCCCAAGCAGCTTGAAGGCCTGGATCTGTTGCCTTAACAATGTCAGCTGCTGTTGACTGAAATGGCTTGATGCCGAGCCAGCGGGCGGTGGGTTGGCTTGTGTCGGTGTGTTTGCCTGTGTAGGCGTCGACGCAGAAGCAGGTGCCTGGTTTGGTTGGGGCGCAACCTGCTGAGATCGAGGCTGCAGGGCACCATTGACAGCACCATTGGAAGCTGGCTGCTGTTGTAGTTGTTGTTGCTGCTGCTGCTGCAAATAGGTTTGTTGGTTTCTACGCATTTGGTGTTGCTGTTGGAAGTACATCAAGAATTGCGAGGCTTTGATGTACTCAGGATCCGTCGCCGGTACGCCGCTCTCTTTCATGTGTTTTAATTTCTAAGTGGACAAGCATGTCAGTCAGTGGCCTGAAACCGATAGTGGCAATAAGGCGCCGTCTTCACAGGCGCATCGCATTGGCAGGCATTAAGATGGACAACCTACCTTGTACATTTCTTCAGCCTGCTGTTTGGTCGCGCCGGCGGCCATTGGCGCGCCAGGATGCTGAACCGCCGGGGCGGCGGCTTGCACCGAAGCCATGGTTGCGTTATGGCAATGGCCCTCCGCAGGAAAAACTCAATCGTATATTGCGAAAGTCGTCGACGGTTATCGAAGGCGCATGTCGAGGATCAAGAGCGATATCAAGAAACGTAGCGGCTCGGAAGGGTGTGCGGTATCCCTTGGATGCTTCGCGGTTGAACAAATATTTAGCTGGCCAGAGGTCAAAAGCTTGATACACCAAAAATCGCGTCGGTTTGGCGCGAAGATAGGTGAAGGGCGCGCAAATAACGTAAAGGGAACAAGCGACACGCGGTGTAGACACGTGGAGCTCGAGTTTTTAGAAAGTCGCAAGTGTGGTTGGGTTGCTTGGACGCAACCGTTGACAGGTGTGGGAGTGAACGAAATCCCCAAGCCTAATAAGATAGGCGAGGCGTGGGGGGTTAATTGAAGGGAAGGGCAAAAAAAGTCAGGATTTGGCGACGGGGCGCGTGGGGAGTGTTATTCGAGGCAAAGGAAGCGTAAAAAATGTGTGGAACACTAAGTTGGCGAGGCTTAGAGATGGTTGCTGATGGTTTGAGAGGGGACCTGGCGATTTTTCGGATGCGCGCGCGCTTCACCAGCTTGCCTTGATGATGGGAGTGGTGAAGACACAACGGACAAGATTCGCCGTGACGGTGGGTGCGGTACTCCTGGGGCCACTCACAGTAATTTTCAGCACGACCCCTGCCGGTGGAGTGTCGCGCCTGAGGCAGAAACGCGCACGGACTCTATTATGTAATGCGACTCGAGAACTACTACAAAATGTGGGTTCACGTGATCCCCAAGGCACGCTACTAAGCTAATCTAAAGCTGTCGCATTCAAACATGGACGGTTGGAGACATCAACTGATTGCCTAGCTCGCGACTTACTGTCTTTCCTTAAGCTGGGGTAGATGCATTCCAAAGGACCTTTGAACTGGGTTTGTCTCCGCAGGTAGTTTTGGTCGCCACGCGTAGGAAGATTGCTGTCGAGTGATTCTTCGTAGATGCCTAGTGGTTTGGAGGGACCTGTTTCGAATACTTGAATGATTCATAAGCGCAGTCCTCACCTCTTGGTCCTCTTTTTGTCAGGGCCCTCTTCTTCCTCGTCGCTCAACTCGGCATACTGGGTCTGAGGCTGCGTTTTACTCCAGGCCTTGGTAAATACCGGATCACTCTTCGCTTTGTCGGCATATTTCAGCAGAGCCTCGCGGGGGTCCTCGTGTAACATGCGTGCCAACGGGATATTCTCTGCAACGTGCTTCTCATTCGGCTGTGACTTGTGGAATGGGGTTTTGCTTGGTTGGTGTGGTCGGCGTGGATCCTTAGACCTGCCTGAAGCTGTCATTCCCTTGTTTTGGGAGCCACGCAGAGCGCCAGGCGCCAGGACTTCACTAGACAGTCCGACCGACTGATCCATTGTAAACTCTGGATTATCGTCGATATGGCGCGTCTTCGGTGCGCGCGACATGACCTCAACCGCGCCGCGGGTCGACTTCTCTGGGTTATAAAGTACATGGCATTCTCCGTTAGCCGAACCTGTGATTATCTGGTTAATCTTGGGGTGCCAATCGACAGTGATAAGGGGCGAGCCCGGGGATATCGGGGTGACATGTTCTGGCTGGAGATTTCCAGGGTTCAAGATATGTAAATGGCCAGTCGCAGATCCCGTGAGGATGTTGGTACCGTTTGGCGCATATCTAATATTGGTGGTCGGGTAATGATCTGACGTGGAAGGGTGGGAAACTGTGACGAGAGCTTTTGTAAACTTGCGCGTGTCCCATAACTTGATCGTGTCATCTCCGCCTCTTGTAACGACCATACGCCCATCTGCTGAAATATCGACTCCACCAGTCCAGGAGAGGGGCTTGTGGGCGTCCCGTATCTCACCGGCTGGTCGCGTGAACGGTCCGTTCCCGCTGTACATGACCAGCGAGCCGTCCAGAGCAGCACCAACAAGAATGTTGCCTGACTGGGGAGAACTTCCCCAAGTCACCGTGGTCATCTTGGTCCGGCCAGCCGAGCCTGCCGCCTTGGACTTAAAAACAATGACATCCTTGTGGGAACGTTTGTTGTTGATATCCCAAATCCGCAAAGTGCTGTCTGTGCCAGCAGTAACGCAGAGGTTCCTATCGCTCGGATGCCAAGCCCCCATCGTAACTTCTGAAATGTGGCCCTTGGTGTTGTGCATATCCCGGAGATACATATCACCCTTGACAAACTCAGTGACGATGTCGCCGTCTCTGGACATGATTCGAGCCTGGGGGTGGGCGGAGATGCAGAGAAAGACGCTCCCGGAAAGAGGGCTGAACTGGACATGCTGCACAGCATGTGATTCGGTAGGTGCTGAGGCTTTCGTCGCGAAAGGGTCGATCGATCGGAATGCTCGCAAAGTAGTAGGCGTCATCGAAGCAAAGTCGTGGAGGTTGACGTTTCCATCTAAGGATCCTGTCGCCAGCCTGCCTCCGGCTGGATCCAAGGAAACTGAGGTTATGGCTCGCTCGTGTGTCTTCAATACCAACTCATGGGAGACAGGAAACTCATCCTCGTCGTCATCGTCGCTGCTATCGTCGGAATCGCTGTCGGAATCGTTGCTATCCTTGCCAGAATCGTTTTCCTCCCGAATTTTGGGTTGTTGGTTCTGGCTGGGCGGCTTTGTCTCAGCTGCCCGACGGCTTCGGTCAATTTGGGCAGCGATATCAGCTTCTTTCGATTTCTTGCCAAACGAGGTTGGCAAGAATGCCCTCATGGGGTCATCCTCGGCCAGCTCGGGAACCTCGATCTCATAGTCGCTATCGTCGCTCATGGTTGCGCGAGGAAGAGATACGAAGAGTGCGACTTGCAGGATGGGCCGGAGATGGTGGATGGGGAGCGAGGAGGGAACGGAGGGAGAGAAATGGTGTGGGAGGGGAGCAATTTTTCACACCATCAGTCTTAGCATATGTCGACCACGTAGTACGGCCGGTTGTGTCAACCTGACTTTAATGGCGGATCCTAAAATAAAGGGAATGCATGGGGGCGTCACCGCCACAAGCCCCCAATCACAAGGGAACGTCACACTTCCAGATCCTACATGCCAACCAATATCACTTGCTTAAAATGCAAGATAGCATGATTTAGGCATGCCGCGAGAGAATACGCATGGACAATCCTAGAGACCCAGTTGTCTTTGGTGCTACCTGACGTGCTCTACATTCGCAAGGCAGCAAAAGAAAAGGCCGCCTTCTAAACTCCGGTAGTTTCACGTACCCAAAGACCCTCGTAAGACCCTCGGACCATGCTACCACCACACGCTTAAGCTTGTGCTGCCTCCTTCATCCTTGCTTTTGCTGAGGCACTGAGGGGCACGCGCTTTGAACCGCAAAAGCCGCGCCAGTTAGAATGCCAATGGCCCAGCCCCCAGTGCTCAAAATGCGAGGCGCTCCGTCTGCCCTCGAAGTTAGGATCGCCCAGGTTGACGATCAAGTACGTGGCTAAAGTAAAACATGGCACACTAAAGCCCTTTTCACGTAAGGTAGGAACCTAATCTTCTTATTAACAATACTAAACACAATAACCAGAAAATAATGAATTATTCCACGATATTTAGCTTGGTATTATTCGAAATTCAACGCTGGAGGTTTTGGGTATGCCATGTTTTATGTCAATCGCTTGACAATCAGACTGTCTCTCCATCACCCGTTGCGGGAAGAATACGATCCTCTCCACCACAAAGCTCACAGATTGCTGCCCAAGCCTTTGGCGCAAATTCTGCAGCCTTGATGCTTTTGTGGTTGGGCATATTGGCCCTCACCTGCCATGTGGATTTGTTAGATGGGTCCAGTCCTCGGCAAACCCACATGTTCTGCGTGATGGTCTCAGCCTGTTCCTTGGAGAAGCAACTCTTGAGATAGACAATCCCCCACTGACGAAAGTGCTCCTTGTCCGTGTCTGTGACTACTACCTTTGGGGATAGAATTTCGATATAGGTCTATCAGCAGACTTTGGGAAGAGCGTAAAGCAAGTTTCTAAGCATGATTCTATATTTGTCGCAGTGAAAGAAGCTATTGGATATGTAATTAGGTAGGTAGATCGACAGCTTGTTCTACGGTAAGCAGCACTATGTACTCCTGGCAGCGCAGGACCAGCCCGTCTCAAATTTCGACCAGCTGGATGATTAGGCAACATTACCATGAACCTTAATGATGAGGTAGTATTCTCGTAAAAGTACCAGCGCACTTGGCAATTAGGTGTATCACCAACCACCAAGCCTGATTTGGTACTCAGAGACTGACTCAGCGATGTCGGATTCAAGGCCCCGTGATGATCCCACCCCGAAGCCTTGTTCTTCAAAGAAAACACACCAAATCCAGCACCATTTAGTTTTCTACAAGCGCAATTAAGCTAACGGAATTCAATGGGATAGACTTAACTCACCCTTACAATAGATATTCCAGTCCCGTGGTTCCAATAGAGCGCTCGACGAGCTCAGTGTAATGTGATTGGCCAAACGCGCACAGACTTTCCCCATGTCCATCGAGACACGGCTAGAGTCCCCTCCACACTCTTCCGCATACACTCCATTCAATTCCATCCGCCATTCAACATGCCAGAACCGATACTAGACGACGAGGAGCAATACGACTCTTCAGCAGATTCCGACTTCGCCCCCGAGAATGGCCAGGGCGCTGATTCAGAGGCGTCAGGGTCCGAGGACAACGGCGACGATGGAAAAGCTGCCAAAGACCGAAAAGATGGCGGGTCACCGAGGAAAAAACAGCGTGTCGCCAATGATGGAGATGCGGAAGATGCGGGATACGATAACTCAGGCGACGAGGCCATAATCAAGAGAGGCGAAAAGAAGCGCGCAAGAGCCAAGTCCAAAGCGAAGACATCGAACGAAGACGACGATGAAGGCGGAGAGGGAGGATTAATCAAGACTCGCCAACAGCGCGCAGCCGAGTACGTCTAGAATTTACAACGCATCTATGCCATTGTAGGCAGACATACAGGGACTAACATTGGACGCAGAAAAGAGGAGCGCCGCATGGCTACGAACACCGGACCCGTTACAATCGACGTCGATGCTGTTTGGCAGCAGATGTTAGCGGGCAAACCTGCCTCAAAACCGGCTGAGAAAGTCCAACAGAGCGAACAAGGTGCGGATTCGAATACAAGCACGGAGAAAGCTACGGCGCCAACCGCAGCGAGCGACGATCCGTCAGAGATGGTCCGCATCAAGCGCACCTACAACTTCGCCGGTCAAGTTCACACCGAGGAGAAGATGGTACATCGGGACTCTGCAGAAGCCAAACTGTATTTCGCCTCACAAGGCCAAGAGGTCCCAGCCAATGCCCCGCCAGCCAAGCGCGTAGCAAAGAAGGCCTTTCGGTCTGCTTTTGAACCGATCACAGACCCTCTCCCGCAACGCGCGGATCTCAACCTTGGAATGGCAGCAAGGATGCAAGCCGGCAAGGACGCACAGGCGAAGAAACTCAACACTGTCGAAAAGAGTCGCATGGATTGGGCAGGGTACGTGGACAAGCAGGGTATCAAGGACGAATTGGAACTGGCAGGGAAGTCAAAACACTCCTACACGGCTCGCGAAGACTTCCTTGCTCGAAGCGAAGCAAGGAGAGATGACGATGCAAGACGGGCCCGGCTCGCGGGACGAGCATGAAAAGTGCGGCCAGCAGCTGGTGTATTAACTATGGCATGAAGGCGTTCTGGGACATGATACCACGGACTTATCAAGGGACATATGGTAAGCTTAATTTACTAGGAATGACGGACAAGAGGCAGTAAAAGGACACAAAAGTTATAATGATAATAAGAGCATTGCATTCTTGAGCATGCATGGGAGCAACGCTGTTGCCAGTATCCATGTTGACCGGGTAGCTCTGAGAAAGAGCTGCCTTTGCTGCCTTTTCAACTCACATCCGCGGCGGCTAAAATCTCACATGCACCCAGCTCCAAGAAACATAACGACCAGAATACAGTTAATTTGACTGACCTCTTTGTTATCATTTCCTAAGTGCATGACAGTCTAAGGTAAATGACAAGGCTAGCGCACGCTGAAGGCGGGACGGGACCCCAGTGACGAGCCTTATCTTATCAAACGACCAAAAAAATTACCCCAGCTATAACTTGTCGCAGACTACCGCAACCCCCCCAGCTAGGAGAGAAGAAAAGTAACCACAATGACTGTCCTGGGGAAACGGAAGAAGCCTAAGAGCGCAATCTCCCAAGAAGATGCCGAGGCTATCTTCCGCCGCCACTTCGAATCTCAATTCCAACCGATCGACGAGGCCGAGTCGAAAAAGAAGTCTGCAAAATCTCAGGATACCGATGACAGCGACGACCAATCCTCCAGATCTGGAAGCGATGAAGATGGGGACAGCCAGGAGGAAGAGGATGCAGAAGGCGAAGAATGGGGCGGTTTATCAGGCGACAGCGAGGACGATGACGAGATTGACGACGAAGATGGTGAGCAATCAACCGTCTACCCGAATCTACAAACATAGCAACCAACTGACTGGATTTTTTTACCCTCAGACGACGAGCCAGCAATAGAAGTAATAGACCATTCACAGCCACGGGTCCCAAACCCGGAAGCCATGTCAAAAAGCGAACTCAAAGCCTTCATGGTCCGTCCCTCTACGCTCCCCCTTCTACAGACAACCACCTAACCTGCTTCACAGTCCTCCAGACCCCCCGACCAATCCGCCGGGTCCAAACCATCCCCAGCAACCGCCGCCTCGACCAAATCCTCCACCACCCTGCCCGAAGACGCCCCCTCCCTACTGGCCCAGGACCTCGAGCTCCGTCGCCTCCTCGCCGAATCCCACCTCCTCGCGTCCCCGACGCTGACCAACACGTCCGCCCTCACCGGCGCGGAGCCCAAGCTCTTCGCCGCCGGCCGCGTCCGCCGCAAGGCCGCCGACCTGCGCATGCAGGCCCTCGGCTCCAAGGAGTCCATCCTCAAGCAGCAGAATATGCCCATGAACATGCGCAAGGGCATCAACGCCGCCGCGGCCGCCCGCGAAGCCAAGCGCAGACGGGAGGCAAAGGAGAACAACGTCATCCTAGAGCACGATACCGCCAAGAAGAGGAGGAAGAGGGATCGCGGAAGAGACGGGGAGGTCAACGGCCCCAGCGTTGGCCGGATGAGAGGCGCAGAGCTGAGGATCAGCGACAGGGACGTGAGGAGCATAGAGGGTACCCGAGATGTATTTGGACGCAAGGGCGGCAAGGGCAGGCGGCGATAACTACACGAGCGACTCACCAATTCAAACGATTTATCAATTTCTCTGCACATACGTTCAAGTACGGAAACATCACACATGTTATTCATGTTTATGATCAATCAATGAAGATATAATGTCCAAATAAGTTCTGTCTCACTCGTACTCTCATTGACCATCGTAACGGGTATGATATCATGTCCTCCCGCTCTTCGGCCAAAGAAGAAAAAAAGGTATAAACAAACAGCTTAATGTTTCTCCTTCGCCCATAACAATGAACTTCCGATTGCCATATCCCAAGACATGAAATACAGTATTTCGCTCTCCACCCTGTCGCTCTATATCTCGCAGGCATCCTTCCAGATTATCCTTTGACAAATGAGGAAGGGGAGGAGGAGGAGGTATTGTGGCGGTACAGACAACAGTAAAAAAAAAAAATCTGAGTGACAAGAAAAGGAAATGTCCAAGGCTGGCTCCCTGTTGTAGAGCTCTGAATAGTGGGGGTATAGCGTATAGTGTGATGTCGATAAGTAGGTAAGTAGGTAGGTAGTTGAGAACCGTGGTGCGGCTCCACGGTTCCCAAGTGACGGCAGCGCTCCTTACATCATACCGCCGGCGTTGACAGTACCAGCCTGTCCAATCGCCATGGGCATTCCCATAGATTGCATGCCGCCGAAGGTTTGGTTTGGTGTGATAGTGGCTGGTCCAGCCAATGAATTCGGTGGTAATTGTTGAGCGGCAACCGAATTGAGGGAACCAGTCACATATGCAGCGTTTTCAGATGTTGGTGAAGCTTCTTCAAGAGAACCAAGCTGGTCCTCACCAGAGAAGTCCTCTTCTTCCTCTCCAGAAAGATGGTAAGGGCCCTCACCACCGTCCTCACGCTCATGAGTTCGCTTGTGCCTGAAAATTCGTTAATAAGCAAGTATCAACAATGGTCAAGTATTAGTGAAAACGTACTGTGCAAGATTGTCGGATCGCGAGAATGCTTTACTGCAATGAGGGCAGACATAAGGTCTCTCTTGCGTGTGTGTTCGTACGTGACTATTGACGGTTAGCTATTGATCCACGACAGGCATAACTGAACGTTCACACATACCGCTTGAGGTGCTCTAGTCTCTTGAACAGGCGACCACAGCTGGGAATGGGGCAAGAGTGTGACTTTTGGGGGTAAGGCCCGAGCTCCATTACAGTGGCAGAGCGAGCGCGACGAACAGCCCCGTTGACACCAGAGCCTGGACGGCGGGGTTCGTGGGGGTTCTCCCCATCATCGCAGTGTCCATGTGAGTAGTCATGGTGTTGGAGACCCATGGAATTCAGTGCGGGGCTGCCTTCTACTGTTGACATCGGGGTTCCATGCCGTGATACGTGCTGCTGGCTGATAGAAACACCACTGGTGCTGTAAGACAGGCCAGGTGGCGAATTTTGCGCAGATTCATCGCCCTCAGGAACACAAGGAACGACAGAGGCAGACATGGACCGCTTCAAGTCAGATGGTCTCTGAGTGGTTGGTGGTGCTGACGTGTGAGTTCCATTAGAAACTGCCGACATAGATGTGGGAATGGATGAACGCCGTCTTCTCTGCTTATATGTCGGCGAGCCTTCGATCACAGAGTAGACGCTGTTTGTTCCATAGGATCGGTTGAATTGTGTTCCAGCCATGTGTGAGGGAGCAAGGTGCACTGCTCCACCGGCACCGTTCATACCCGACACATTGTCAGGAATTGCTGAGTACAGGCCGGTCTCTTCGTTGGCAATATACGCGGGCTCCGCAGAAACACCAAGGGCGTGCTGAGGAGGGGTGATTGGCTCAAAAGAAATGCCACGATTGCTGTAGTCTTCGTACTGTGAAGAAACAAATGAAGGTGCTGGCGAGTACTCTAGGCCATAGGTAGGAACGGAAGAGTGGCGTTGCTGGGCTTGCGTAATGGGAACGCCATTCTGATTGTACTGAACGCGGCCAAACTCAGCCTCCCGCTTCACCTGTGGGGGAAGCTGGTGAGGCATCGCCTGGGCCATCGTCATTGATCCGTAGGGTGAGATTGCGTCCATCCCTTCCGCTAAAGGGGGCATGGATTGAGGAACTGACTGCGCCATCGACTGAGTCATGGTCGGTGGCATCGAGGAGGGCATCGACTGGGGCATTTGCTGAGCCATGGACTGAGGCATCGATTGAGGCATCGGTTGAGGAATCATGTTGGGAGGAGGCATGGAATCCATGGATCGCATGACAGGCGAAGAACCCTGGTTCTGAGCGAACGCTTGCTGCTGGGCAGTAAAAGATGAAGAGTTGGCTTGCTGGGCCTTGGTGAGCTGTTCGTAAAGGGACTGCGAGGAATCGTATTGGAACGACAGGGCAGGCTCGCTAACAGCCACTGTGGTAGCCTCCTGGCCCATCTTCTCACGCTTTAGATCTCTTTCTAAGGCATCGAGGAAGAGTCGGTCGTGGGGAACGCTGTACCAGTAGAAGACCTTCTGCTTCTTCTGCGTTCGAATGCAGTTGTTCTTGTAGAGGAAGTCAAGGAAAGGGCTCTTAGGCTCCTCCAGAGACGCGTCGGTTCCCGATTTCAAGTTTCGAAGATCGGAGAAGATGCCCTCCTCGAACTTCTTCGAGTTCTTAACTGGGCGGCCAAATGCCTGGAATCGAAACGAGAGACATCGGACAATATCCGTACCAGAAATGTGGAAGAGGTTATTCCTTCGAGAAATATTAGCTCCCGAAGGCAAGCTTCAATGCAATAAAAAGAGGACATACCAAAGCACACATGATACATATTCGCCCGTAGGAAGCAGAAATCGTCGAATATATTGATCAGGGGACCAATCTACTGGAGCGGAGATGAGGAAATATTTGACTGATGTCGTGTCAGGCCCTGGCAAGCTTCCAATGATACTTTAGGCGAATTCTACTTACGGTTGTCAACCTGGTTGAGCGCAACTTGCGCGTCGTGGGGAAGCGCTTGCTGAGCCTCCGTGCTCAGCATAAAAGTTTCCGGCTTCTGCGCCGCCATGGCTGCATTTTGGGTATACATGTCTCGTTTCTATCCACAAAAGGACGAGGATCCGACTAGAAAGAAAAATGCTGATTGGCCTTCCAAGGCAAGTTGTGTCGTGGTCTAGATGAGAGGTTTGGTGTTTTTGGTGTCTGGTCGCAACAAAGTATCTACAAGATAATGCGGTCGCGAGCACAAAGCATATGCAATGTTGCTTCTCCTGGAGTCGTTAAACAAAAAGTTGATTCTGGCGTAATAAGCGAGGAATGGTGGCGTAATGAGCGGCGGCACAGCCTACCGGTCGAGCGAAGAGTTGCGTGAAGCGTGAAGTCGAGACCAGCCCGAGATATTTAGCAAAAATAGCACACTGCTGGAAAGCAACCTGAGTACTGCGTCAAGCAATTACTTCAAGTCGCGCCAGGCATATACCGTCAAGGTGATGCGTCAAGCAATGCGATAAAACGATGTGACGAGCTTCGAGCTCCGAGTCCTGGTAATCGAGCGACGGGTTGGATCGGTATTTGTAGAAATCCGGACAGTCGATGCGGAGGATATCAGGTCAGAAAAAAATCAAAGAAGCCCGAGGTGTCGTTCCTCATCACAATGCGAAAAGAGCAAGAAAACAAAAATGATGGTGATGGACCAGGGGGGAAACCCAACGTCTTAGACCTCGGCGGCGTCCTGTGGGAGGGTATGTTGGTTGATCTTGACGACGTGGCTCGGGGCCTAGAGGTTCTAAAGAGGAAACAGAGGACAGAAGAGAAAGATGGAGGGCCTCAAGAGAAGAGGAGAGAGGGTGAGGGTGAGGGGGGGAAGTGAATGTGAGAGCTAAGGAGGGAGGTCGAGAGTAAAAAGGATTCTGGGAGGGAGGGTGAGAATTGGGGGGGTGCAGATGGCCTACCAACTCCATCGAGCGCGTAGGTCCAACTGGCCGAGCCTGCACAGAGCCGCCGCCTTGATCTTTAGCCCGGGTACATGTGGGGACCGGGTAACCCGCGCGAAATACGAGAGCGGGGAGGTATTTCAAGGTACTTTCCACACCTGCACCTTAACGGCAGGTCCAGGACAAGGGACAGGATGAACTGGGCGCTGGAGGGCGCTGAAGCGACTCAGACAGCTGCAGCACAGGCGATACTAGGCGCTGTCCTTGGGATCGCCTACCAGCAGTTGCCGACAGCGGTCCAACGCTACTAAGCCAATGTGGTACCCAATCACCCGAAGCCAGGACAACAGGTGTGCTCTTGTGTCGTATCAACCGCTGGATTTGTTTATTATTCATTTTTTCTTTGCCCTATCGTTTCTTTTTGCTGGCCTGCGCGTTCGTTTGACAGCCCGCCGCCGCCATGTATTACTTGAGCTAGTTAAGATGGTAAGGGGGACCAGTGCAACCTGTTCGGTCGGGTCGGCCAAACCAAACCTCATGTGAAGGGCTGTAAGTCTGGCAGAATGCTATAGGTGGACGATGAGCGGCAATAACGGGCTGGGGCTAGCATTACGTACGGCACCAAATCTCCATTTTAATTATCGGCCACCACTATAACAACCCAACACTTAAGAGCCGGTTACTGGGAGGTCGAGGCTAGCGGGATCAACGATGGCCTGCTCAAGGTACCAGCACCCTAGCCTAACCTTGAAGCGTTGCTAACCAAACCACACGAATTATGGGCCTGTCAACATGAGCAAGGATGCGTCCACTCAAAGGGTGGGACGAGATGCATACACCTCCCTCTAAGGTGGTGATTACTAATAGAACTGGAGGAAGGGGAGGGGTACAACGCAGTGGGGCAGTCCACCATGCCTGGTAGGTCGGGAGAGCAACTTACCAAGCAAGAGCGCCATCCCAACGGCCACACTATTACCAGAAGGAAATGCTTCGATGGAACTTCAAAATTTTGAGCCTGGCGCATTGGTCCCGCCTTGCCCTGGGACCTTCTGTCGTCCTAACCGATACGTGTGTGCTGCAAAACAGCCGTGGCATAGCACCAAGAGTTGCCACTAGTAGAATGACAGTTAGCTCTGTGTCACCAAAGT